AGATATAGATATAGATATAGATACAGATATAGATATATATTTATATATATTTATATATATATTTATATGTATATCTATACCTATCTATCTATCTATCTATCCATATAGATATGCATATATAGATATGCATATATAGGTATACATATATAGATATACATATATAGACATACATATATAGATATATCTATTATCCATCCATCCACCCATCTATCTATCCATCCATCCATCCAATAATACATTTATCCACCTATCCATCCATCAACCCATTCATCTATCCACCCATCTATCCTTCCATTTATCCATCCATCCACCCTTCCATCCATTCATCCATCCATCCACCTATCTATCCATCCATCCCTTCATTCATCTATCTATCTATCCATCCATCTATCCATCCATTTATCTATCCATCCACCCTTCCATCCAACCATCCATCCACCCTTCCATCCAACCATCCATCCACCCTTCCATCCAATCATCCAGCTACCCTTCCATCCATCCACCCTTCTATCCATCCATCCATCCATCCATCTATCCAAGCATCCATCCATCCATCCATCTATCCAAGCATCCATCCATCCATCCATCTATCCAAGCATCCATCCATCCATCCATCTACATAGATATCTATTGCAAGTCATAACCAGTAATCAAAATGTCCTATATAAGTAATGAGAGTCCTGAATATTTATCTCCTGTATCCTCTCTATCTATATCTGATTGCGCTTCAAAACACAGAATTTTATAATCCTACCAGAAGGCTGAGGTTTTGGTCCAAACAGGTCCCCTTCATCCTCACTGTCACTGGCAAACAGATTTCCCTCACTCTTCTTTAGGCGGCCGGATGCAGCTGGCAACCGCACACCTGTAGGATCTGGCATGGCTCTCACATTTTCCACCCCAAGTGACGGAGGTTTGGAAACAGGTGCTTAAAAAAGGGGAACAAGCCAAAATTTTACACTGTATTCAAATCAGTAAATCATTTCTGTCCATGTTACTGCAAAATGACAAAATTGATAAAAAGGGCTCTTTGTTAGCAAGGCAAAAGAATAATACCTGTTGAAGAAGGAGCTGTGCTATTTGAAGATGCCAGAGGATCTGGTCTACGGCTAAACAAATCTCCGTCTTCATCAGTGTCTGAATCCATTTCTTGAAATATAGAAGTTAAATCTAAATACACCATACATCAAAGAAACATAATAAACAGTGTTAATAATGTTAAGGATTTCAATTGAAACTCCATAATCTAAAAGAGAAGAACACACATTAGAAGAATCTTCCATGCTTTTGTACTTTACTCTACACACTAGAAAAAGATTCATTCTTATTCATATAATAATGTGAAGCATGAATAATGGACTAAGTTGTAGACTATTCTCTTACAAGTAGCAAAAAGGAAAAATAATCTAGTCCTTCCCTGAAATCAATAATATGCAAGTTGATGAGGCTGTAGGTGGATATTAAGAATACACTGAGATAATGGAAATATTTAAGCAGGTATTACAAAAGCTGGTTCCATTTTGTAGTCATGATTTAATATTCTAAGAAATGAAATTGGGTCTTCCAAATAGCATATTTTACAACTAAAATTAATATCTAGTACATTTTCCACATTTTTAGAGACAGTATTTTGTTTATTGAGACTACCATCAAAAAGAATAACTTCAGTTATAAAGATTAGCAAACACATTAATAAACAAAAATCAAAAAAAAATCTAATAGTGGTATCACAGTGTGTGGTATTGATGATTCTCAATCATACACACAATGAATAGTCTTAGATCAATCATTTCAATTCCTTTAATCATAAAGACAACTCACTGAAAAAGTATTACCACATGCTTTTGTAAACTATAAGCAAAGTCCTTACCACTGACTCTCTGAGAAGTTCCTGTGGCATTTTGAAGCTTTTTATTAAGTTCTGAAGATAAATTTGATCCATTGTTAACCTGTATAAAAGAAAAGAAAAAACATTACTACACATAATAATAATAAATAATCTGACAGCAAAAGAGAGCATACAAACATATGAAATAATAAGCTAAGCAAAGCATTTATGAGTTCCACAAAACAAAATATTTTATAATAATAAGCTCTGTAGATGACAAAATTTATCATGTCTCAAAGAACTCTGTTATCCTTGTAGTCATTCTTTATTGTTTATTGAATGCCATTCTTTTTTTAATCACTATCAGCAAAAGGATTTTTTTCCTTACATATTCATCACACAAACAAATATTAACTAACTGTATTCAAATTACAGGATTTTCTTATATATTCACTTACCAGTAGCCATATAATGAGCACCACAGCAACAGTAAACAGTAGTATATTTTCAATCATGTTTGACAGACCTTTCCTTTGCAAAGAAAGGCAATGCCCAGCCCACAAGAAACAAGACCAAGCAAATGAAGCACATAAGGATATCGAAATCCAGGAGTATGTCACCACTTGATATAAACTTGTGCTGATATCGCAAATACAAAGATCGCAGAATATCTGACAAATAATGCATTGTTGCTGTTAGAATTTACTTCACTTCTGAGGCTCTTTCCCTGAAGTTGGAGTGAATGCAAAATCTACCATGAGACCGATCAAGAGTGTAACAGACATATCAGAGGCCCCATCCTGTCACCTCATAACTGTCACTAAGGAAACTGCCAGATGAACAATGATACATAAAGACCCTAAATCTTATCTATGGTCAACATAATATTTACAAGAGTGAACTAGTAAATTATCCTTGTTACTAACAATGAAATTTCTATGATTCTGTCTTTAATACACACAACTTGTACAAAAAAGCACAGCATCATCTGGCAACTCATTATCAACTCACAGGAAGTCACATGATAAGCTGTCAGTAACCTACTTTACTACGGACAGCATATAGTTTCTTGGAAATATAATGTAGCATTGCAAGCTATAAATAGCTAATCCTACCAAGCACTATAAAATTTTCTTTACTATCACTGCTATATTATTACCCTCAAATTCAAAATATGTACTGTATATTTCATTAGATATATGTAGCTTCAGTCACTAATAGTCTTTCAATGGATGAATGTTAAAGATTATAAGTAGATCAAGTTAGAACAAAGAAAGGACTCAGCAGGCAGATTAGATCCCCTTGATAATTCTTTCTGCACGTTCACCAACTTCTTCTAAAAGGTATAGCAAAATAAAGAAAAGGCACTCCAAATTTTGCTGTTTTTCGTTATTGGTTTTGGTAAGTAATGGAAAACTAAGTTATGTCTTTAAAATATCAAGGAATTTAGTGACAAGAGAAACTCAAAAACAATATGTGTGTATTCTAGGAACTATGTAAGACTTACTTGCTTGAAGCTTTTAGAGGATGGTCCAAAGAAATCATCATCATCATCATCATCTTCTTCACTGGTCATGTTTGGTGGCTGTGGGTTTTTATTTGAGGTTCTGATTGGCTCATCTGACCAGTCTGAATCACTATCATCCTATCAAGAAACAATAAAATAAATAAGAAGAATCTGTTCTTTCTCAGTTATAAAATCTTAAGTCAAAATAATTCTTAACAAAGTTTTAAAGGTTTACAAAAATGTGATAAAGTGTCTATTCTTCTCTCATTCCAGAAGTCAGTTGTAAAGAGCAAACAGCTCATGGCCTCAAATAATTTCATAAACTTTACCATCAATCTTGAGCTGCTTGCTGGAATTGGCTTGTGTTTCTGGTTTATATCAGTTTCATCTTCCATGTCCAAGTCTTCCTCTGTGTCTGTGTCCTCTGGACTAAATGTAACCTTGGAGCTGTCTTCACTGGAAGACTCCTGTAATCCTAGTTTATCATCTTCCATGAACATGGCTGTACCAATGATGTGTGGCAATGGCTTTACTTCATAAGGATTGATGAGAGCATACACAGGAACAGGACTGAAATGATGGAAAAATTAAGCACTGAAAGATGTTACCATATGACTCTTCAAACAAGCATTCATCATGGTAGTAACACCTTATGAGGTAATCTGAGTATTATCAAATTGCTCCCTAGTTAACCCTTTGATTGCAGATGACATGATATGGCTGTGGTGGTCTGAGTCACAGATGGCACTGCATCATGACATATTCCAAACTGTGGGATATCTTTCTCTAATAATAGCAACACCATTTGTTTGGTGTCACTATTAGATATAGGCACTTGAAAGTAAAGGAAACCCTCTGCCATTTTTTTTTATAAAACAAAATAATTAGGAGTCTAATGATGTGTATGAAATACCAAATGAGCAGAGCACAAACCAACAACCACTAGCCAATTTTTAATATCCCAGTTAATGAGTTACACTGGATCAATCAATAATGTAAATAACGTTTTAAAAAATCTGATCTGATCTGCAAACCTGCTTGGGCTATCTTCATCATCGGAATCTGAGTCCTGAATTTCATGCCGCTCATAACTCCTGCTCACAAGAGATAAACCCTCAGCAATGGCTGACCTACATCTTGCAATCACTTCCTCCTCTGTTGGTGTTAAAGGATAAAGTGTCTATTCTTCTCTCATTCCAGAAGTCAGTTGTAAAGAGCAAACAGCTCATGGCCTCAAATAATTTCATAAACTTTACCATCAATCTTGAGCTGCTTGCTGGAATTGGCTTGTGTTTCTGGTTTATATCAGTTTCATCTTCCATGTCCAAGTCTTCCTCTGTGTCTGTGTCCTCTGGACTAAATGTAACCTTGGAGCTGTCTTCACTGGAAGACTCCTGTAATCCTAGTTTATCATCTTCCATGAACATGGCTGTACCAATGATGTGTGGCAATGGCTTTACTTCATAAGGATTGATGAGAGCATACACAGGAACAGGACTGAAATGATGGAAAAATTAAGCACTGAAAGATGTTACCATATGACTCTTCAAACAAGCATTCATCATGGTAGTAACACCTTATGAGGTAATCTGAGTATTATCAAATTGCTCCCTAGTTAACCCTTTGATTGCAGATGACATGATATGGCTGTGGTGGTCTGAGTCACAGATGGCACTGCATCATGACATATTCCAAACTGTGGGATATCTTTCTCTAATAATAGCAACACCATTTGTTTGGTGTCACTATTAGATATAGGCACTTGAAGTAAAGGAAACCCTCTGCCATTTTTTTTTATAAAACAAAATAATTAGGAGTCTAATGATGTGTATGAAATACCAAATGAGCAGAGCACAAACCAACAACCACTAGCCAATTTTTAATATCCCAGTTAATGAGTTACACTGGATCAATCAATAATGTAAATAACGTTTTAAAAAATCTGATCTGATCTGCAAACCTGCTTGGGCTATCTTCATCATCGGAATCTGAGTCCTGAATTTCATGCCGCTCATAACTCCTGCTCACAAGAGATAAACCCTCAGCAATGGCTGACCTACATCTTGCAATCACTTCCTCCTCTGTTGGTGGTGACTGGAAAGAATAATTTGCAAACAATTTACAATAAATAAAACTTAATGAATAAAGCAAAAACAAAACATTAGGAGAAACATACCTAAACATAAATACTGACATAAGGTAAAAGGGACAGGATAAAATAAAATAAGAGAAAGATATAGGAATGTATTCTTGATTTTTATTACAGTGTAAGTGTAATATAGAGCATTTATGATTTTTCTTTCTTTTTCTTTTTAATGATACTCAGAAAAATCAAATTATTGTATAATAAATGACAAGATACCACTGTTCTGATAAAATAGTTTAAAATCCTGCAAATTAGGGGAAAGACAAGATACCACTCAAAATATCAAAATGAGTCTCATACAAAACACACAAAAAATGTAAATTGCCTTGAAACAGATTAGGTGAGAGGTGTGACCGTCATTTGATTTTTTTTTTTTTCTCTGGATGAATGAGAGAGGGATTTTTTTTTTTAATCAACCAAGTTCTGAAAGGTCTTTCATACTGATATACAACCAAGTGTAAAGAATGAGGATTCCCTAGACTGATCAGCCAAGCATATACAAGAACTTTTTTGAGCCTGAAATACTTTACAGAAAGAACAATGGTTACAGACCAAACAATGTGGCCAATACTCTTAATGTGATCACTCTTATCTGATCCATGATAAAATCCTTTCTTATCACAACAAACACAAAAGGTCATCCCTCCTACCACACTCTCTGAGTGTAAAAACAGTCACACTGATATGTTCAGTTCTGTTGAATGCGAAAACTTTAATCAGTCACAAACCTCTATTATAAAAGACTATCTGTATACACCCTACAATCTCTTTAGGTATGGATAATAAAAAAATTAGGTTTCACAACACTGGTTTAAAAAGTAAATTTTCTTTAACCCAATGAGCGCTGATGGCAAGATTACAATACCATGCCCACTGTAATAAAAGTTTTATATATTGTCTTTCCATATAGATGGCCCTACAAGTGCTTAGTCACCAAAGAGTCAGCTATTAGTCTTACCTATCTCATCTGTTTACCTTTTTCTTTCATTTTTTGAAAGATTCACTACTATTATTTTATTGTCTTTTATGTTATTAATATCTTAATAACAATTTATTACTCATGATATCAATAAGAATGATAATAATGTCAATATTAGTAATACTGGAAAGAAAAATGCATTTTTCCTATCGATTCAAGGAATGGAGAAATCAGGATCAGTCACTAGGGCCAACTGAAAGTCTCCTTGCTACTGAGCCCACATGGAGCCATCTAAAGGGGACAGTAAATAAGCCCGCTGAGATTGGGTTAACATGTTACCCGCATTATGACAAAAGCAAGACTCCCCTCTATCGCAGCAGCCTTCACAACGCTCTCACGCTAGTCCCAGTGAAGCTATAAGGAAGAAAACTCTTGTTTTATTATGCTTACTTTTCTACTCATTCATGTATGAAAGCCAAAACCATAGCCAATCTATGTATAAAAAGGAAAAAAATACATTAAATATATACTTTTTTTTACTCATCTTTCCATCACCGGTGTACCAAATCCCAATAAGGGAATATCGTTAGTGATACGCATGTGGGCCAAGACGCAGGTAACATGTTAACAGATTTAATCTACTTGTTTCATGCATGCATTTGTGTGTGAGTGAGTGCATGTGAGAGAGAGAGAGAGAGAGAGAGAGAGAGAGAGAGAGAGAGAGAGAGAGAGAGAGAGAGAGAGAGAGAGTGTGTGTGTGTGTGTGTGTGTGTGTGTGTGTGTGTGTGTGTGTGTGTGTGTGTGTGTGTGTGTGTGTGTGTTTAATGACCTCTCCCCTCTACTCACCCTTGACTTCCCATGGTACCCAGCACTCTATTTTTGCCTAAGCCAACTCTGACCTGTGCCCAGAATAGAACGACACTGATGAAGTACCACAGAGCAAACAATTCCAATCCTTACTGCCAATCACTTTATAACAGACAATTTCTGAATCCACAGGATGCTGAATTTCAGTTCATTCACTATGAACTATTATTTCGCAGGAAAATCTTTCATCTCGTGTCTTTGCATGTTTTCAATAATCATCTTCATTGGAAAAATCATTCCTGCTTCCTAGCATACTACTATTCTTAATTAACTTCCCTTCAATCCTGCATTTTTGCATTCAACTACAATCATTTCTCTGAAGGAAATAAATTCTAAGTATGACCTATCTACCTACATTTTCACAGGAACATCTGTTGTCCTCTGCTCTTGAACATGAATCCTACATACAATATTCTGGAGAATGATTCCTACATTTTGCATGACTCTGTAAACTCATACTCTTATCCTGCCATCTAAATTGTTCATTACTGCCTTCAATCTCTCAGGTAAATGTTGCAATTAACACTATTCCGAATCCATGACACGTTGCTTCCAGTCTTTTCCTCATCATTTTGAGTTCTTGTTGATATTGAACCTTCCTGAGGTATGGCATTATGTCTTCTGTCGCCAAGACATGGTATCGTTGTTCCCATTTGTTGTCCTCAGAGCCAGACACACTATGCTGAAGCCCACTGCAGAACTTGACTCTGAGATTACCATGGCGCCACCCTTGCCACCAATCCCTTGCATGCCAAGTCTTGTTCGCCCCACTGGCAAGTCCATCTCACGGACATTCTTGCTGCCAAATCACCTTCCGATGCCTTTCTATCCTCTACCGTACACCGCTGCAACTCCAGTTGTGTCATTCTACTGACATCTCCACCACCTTCTCCGCTGGTGACCGCCACCCAACGTCCTAGCACTTTCTCGTCTCATTCACCTGACATCCTCGCCACATCTCGCCTCATTCGCCTGGTAACCTTGCCGCATCTTGTCTTACTCGCCTGATGTCCTTGCAACATCTGCTGCCCTGTGCTGGTGACCTTGACAAGAATGGTCCTGTATTGCCTGTCGAACCTCATGATGCTATCACCATGGTGCTCTTCCTCATCCAAGATGACAAATCCTTCTTGCCAACATGATCCTGATCCTTTCAAGACCTCATTCTCATGATTGACAAGTTAACTGTTTCTTCCAGCGATCCTGTGGAATGATTGACAAGCTCCGTGACTGATCACCACTGCTGCTCCCATCAATACCACCTGTGCTTCAGAATAATGACTTGTATGAACAAGCCCCCTAGGCCACCGATCTTAAAAGTCACCTGTGTGATCTTCCTCCCTGCTCATCTGCAAGAACCAAGACTCCCTGCATTACCACCATCAAGACTGCAGCTGGATCGAGGACGATCCTGGTTCGGTGGCCGAGTGATTTAATAACCTCTCCCCTCTGCTCTCCTCGACTTCCCACGGTACCCAGCACTCTACTGCTTACCACTGATCACTTTATAATTACATGTAAGAGAGAGAGAGAGAGAGAGAGAGAGAGAGAGAGAGAGAGAGAGAGAGAGAGAGAGAGAGAGAGAGAGAGAGAGAGAGAGAGAGAGAGAGAGAGAGTCTGAGTGTGAATCTGATTCATGGAATCACACTAGATGACATCTAATCAGCCAAATTCCCGGATGACAAACATCTACTGTATGCAATAAAGACTGCACTAAGTTGTCTGTACTACACAGTTCACTTTTTGGTCATGCTTGTGGTTACTGAGGAGATACAGCCCCTAAAAAATAGGTTTTATGTCTCTTTTAAGCCTCATTTACTTATCAGCATAAAAATTCATAATTTTTCATTCACATAGTATATAGACATGTTAAAAGTTGATACAGTCAATAAAATAACCAATGTACCAATACCCTGTATAGGCTGTGCTTGGCTGAGGAAGGATATTCTTTGGTGTTATACAGCCAATATTTACATCTTCAAGTACTTTGCCCAAAGCCTGATATTATTTTGCCTAATAACCTTACTTAATTAACCCAGCCCTTCTGGTAAATGTAACATTGACTGTTGTATTGCTTTGTGATGTGTATCTACAGGTACATGGCACCACAAGTATAAAACTACTAAGGAATCAATTAGACCTACATGACCTTGCCTTTAATTGAGTTTTGGGGAATATTTACTGAAACTGACATCATTATTACAGTGTTATCAACAGTATTAATGGCCAAATAAAATAAAAAAGAATATTACCGAATATCAAGGAAAAGGGTAATGTGTGAATATAATTAATAAACTAAATTCATAGTGGGCATGGCATGTACATACATGGCACAGGGTTAAAAATAGTATTAGTAACACACAACAATTCACTGCGTACTGCATGCTATAAGAAATCAGGAGCTCAAATCGTGTGTCTGATATTCACTACACAAATAAAAAGGTGTAAGTGCAATATACAGGTTGCCTAACAGTGGCGTGGTGGCTCCTATTTGGCTGGGGGGTACTAGTCTTTTTGGGCGCCCCTTTGAGAACTGCGCCCTTGGTACAAATGCATTTGATTAGGCAATGGTAAGGCTCATAACAAGCGTGGGTCAGGGGCTCAAATCCATTAAAAAATTTTAAAACAATGGCACTGAGCCACAAGAATTAATTTGATACATTGTTCTCTATTGTTTTGAGAACAACAGCCCCAAATTTGTTAATTTCAAGACCGAATTTCAACAATTTCAGGAAAATTTACTTGAGCTAGTCCGTTTCTGTGGCCGCTTTTAGAGAAAAATTTTGTGACTTTTTTCATTTAGGAAGAAACCAGGTGGTCGGTAAGCATTATTAGGAGGTGGCTGCTATTCAGAGGTTCACCATATAAGCAATGATATGCGAAAGTGTTTGGGACTGAAGGTTAGTGGCCGTTCTTGGGAGGTGGCCCCTAATCGGAGGTGGTCGCCTATTAGAGGTTGGACTGTAGGTGCCTTTTCGGAGCGCTGTAGATTTTTTGTACATATTTGCTTTCAGTGAGCTTTTGGCGCCCCCTTGGAGAGTTGAGACACCTTCGGCGCCCCCTGCTTTTTTTTTTGCTGGCCACCATGCCACTGTTGCCTACCCTCATGTCATCAGAGAACCAAATGAAGTGCAGAAGCATGCACAGGAATTTTCTTTATCATTATCATAATTGGAAATCTTTTTACTGCATATGCAAGGGATCTGGAGGCAGAGGGCAGGGATTTATAGAGGTTGGCATAAAACATCTGACAATATGAAAAGATATTTACAGATGAAATTATATGTTATTTGACTGGGTTGAGAGTGAGTGTAAATTAGATTTAGGTAAGTTCTACATGTGATATATCTAAATTCCTGATTTTAAGATTTCTACATATAAAGGTACTTTGCATACTCATAACTCTTTCCTCTGTTTGTAAAAACTTGCTTTCTTAAAATTTTGTTTCATGATTTTATACAAATAATAGTCACAAATAGAACCCCAAGGTTTTTAATTCTTAAAACACTTTACAAATAAGCTTTAATTCTGATACTAAAATCAAAAGAATTAATTGGTACATATCAAGCTCAACCAAATACATGGTCTCATGAATGTAGAGTATGATATATTTTGGACCCCATTGCCAGATAATAATGTCATGTGCCTTACCTTTTCCTGCTTGTCTGGTTCATCCCTAGCTACATCAGCGTCATCCTGATATGTTCGATTTTCAATGAACTGAGTATTGGCCAGTTGGTGAAAGGAATTATTGGTGTTGGAAATTGCAGTCAGTACAGAATCCGTCTCGTCCAGCACTTTCTTTAGAGCACCTTCAACTTCATGTGTTCTTGACACCAGTCGCTGCCAAGATAGTGAATATTTGTCCATGATCAAATAATTTGAATAATAGTCAGTTATCATCTCAATGCAAAAATCATAAAATTAAATATGCAATCAAATCCAAATGCACTAACTTGGATCTAGGAGCAGTGTTGCCATCTATAAATCCAGAGATGTCACTTATCTGAGGTTAAGAATTTACCTGTGATATACTCTGAAGCAATGTGGCAGTTGCAGCATCTGCAGCCAAGCTCCAAGATTCCCCATACTGGCGGAGATCAGCCTGTGTGAGTGTGGGGCTTTCCCACCATCGCTCACTCCCACTTCCCCCTTCTGCTGAACCCTACAATAGAAAGGGTATTGTCATATTACAAAACAACAGCACCTGCATTGAATTCAGAGGAATAGAGGATGGCTCTAGAGTACAGAGGGTTAGCACTAGAAGATGGGGATAATGAATCAGAGATAATGATATAAGGGATGACTTTACAAAGAGTTTGAAGATTCAGTGATACAAGACAATAGAGAACTGGATGAGAAAATAGTCCATTGGATTCATTAAGACAGTAAGTGGAATGATGCATACCAAAAGACAAATCAAAACCTCAATAAAAAGGTGTACAAAAGATGAGCGAGATCATTACTGACAAAGGTAGCAGTAATATAGTCACTGCATCTGCGGTTAAACTTTACTGTGCCAAACAAATATTGTATGAAAATATTAGTTGAAATCTAAATTTTGTATTATGATACAGGAAAGATTACACTTATATTAACCCCATGTTGCCAGGAAAATGTAGTATTCACTGTACTACTGTTTTGTGGAATGTCCCTGCACATAAATGGCTCCACAAGGAGCCATTCTGGAGTCAATTAGCCTTTGCGGGAAAAGGATTTATTTTTTACACTTATACTGTCAATATCAATGCCGTTATCATCATAGGAATCATAATTAATAAAATGTAACTGACATAACTGACAGCATATAAGATAACAGAAAATATTTTTGAAAATCAACGAAAAGAATAAAAGGTGAGATAGGAAGTACTCATAATTGGCTCACTGGTAACTTAGTACTTATGGAGCCATCAGTGTGTGAAGACAATTAATAAATTAAAGTCACAGTGGGCATGGCATGTCCATACATGCAATTCTCATTGGCATCGAGTAAAGATATGTTTTGGAATATGAAAACATTATGGTTACTTCAATAAGGGTAGCTTGAGGGTGATTTTATTATATTACTTCACCCAACAACCTTGGGGGCACTCCTTGGAATCCACAAACTTCTCCTTCCTGGCCCAATCACCGTGGACTTGGTCTCCATGCAGCATCTGTCACACACTTTATATTTCATCTTTTATATTATTCATTGCCTGCACAGACTATTTCATAACAGTGAGTGCAATTA